TTTTTTTTCAACGTTTATTTATTTTTGGGACAGAGAGAGACAGAGCATGAACGGGGGAGGGGCAGAGAGAGAGGGAGACACAGAATCGGAAACAGGCTCCAGGCTCTGAGCCATCAGCCCAGAGCCTGACGCGGGGCTCGAACTCACGGACCGCGAGATCGTGACCTGGCTGAAGTCGGACGCTTAACCGACTGCGCCACCCAGGCGCCCCCATAAAGATTTTAATAAATGAATTCGGAACCAGGAGGAGATGAAACTCAGGCATAAGTTGTGAGTTGTGATTCTGTCCCCAGCATTTTTCTAGACAGTAGCCAGAGACAAGTAACAGAGAGCCGCCCTTATTTCCCAAGACCTCAGCCTTCCCGAGTCTCCAGAAGAACCAGTGTGGCATACGCCCAAACCAAGCTGCGTGGCATACTCAGGGGACACAGGACTGTAAAGGAGAGCTTCAATTCCTAGGCTCAGCAGAGTGGCCTAGGTCTCAGTTGATAATAGTTCCAAAAATCTAAGATCTAGATTCCGTTCAGATAAGTAGCAGCCAGAGGCTGTAAGTCCAGAATTTGACCAGTCTTGGGGGCGGGGAGTCAGAGTATATTGACGCTATTGCTTCTGGGCAAATAGATTTCGGTATCAGGTTCACACCTTCCTTATTTAGAACCCGGAGAGAGCATGATACAGTGACAAATACGTGGTCGTGGTATCAGGCAAACCTTGGTTCAGATCATGTCTCTGCTGCCTGCCAGCCTTGTGACCTTGGGAAAATCATTTAACCTCTCTGAACTTCAGATTTCTCGTTTAGAGCAGTAGTTCTCCACTAGGAGGGATTTTGCCCCCACCCCCACCCCGGGAACATTTGGTGACATTTAGGACAAGGGGTGAGAAGTGCTTAGTGGGAACGGCGGAGGATACTGTTCAACATCCTACAATGCACAGATAGCACCCCCACAGCAAAGAACTATCTGGCCCCAAATGTCGATAGAGCTGAGGTTGAGAAAATCTTAGTTTAGAGATAACATATGCAAAATGTCTGGCATAAAACAGGTAGGCGCTGCCTCAGGCATTACCAAATCATGCATTCAGTGTGGCTAATTGAAAACCAGATTGTAGGGAAGCAAGGATCATGCAAGTCTATCTGAGGTTCAGGAAAAGTCCCCAGTGGTGGTACCAGAGGCCCACTGAACCAGTTACGGCCGTTGTGGCAAACAGGTTCAAGGTGGTGGCTCTGGAACCAGTCTGCCCACGTCCAAACGCTGCCTCTGCCATGCACTGCGCGTATTACCTTGGGCAAGTCACTTAACCACAGTCTTATCCCCACTTAACTGGGGATAATAACGATATACCTGCCTCACAAAGGATGGGTCTGCATAGATAGCAACCTGCTCACCTAATATTTTCTCTTGTTACAAGGGGAATAAATACAGAGCCAGTGCCCAGAGGAGCCCTGGTTTTAATAAGAAACTCTGAATTTTTTGATAGGAAGTATGGAGAGGAACATAAACCAAACATAAAATGGGTAATTGACACAGCAATAGAAAGTTCATCAACCCACTAAGGACCCACTATGAGCGGCTGGGCAAGGTGCCAGATGTTTATAAATATCATCTCGCTGAATCCCCTCGACAGCTCTTTGAAACGGCTTCTATTAACCTATTTTGATCTTTTTTTACCGACATGGAAATAGGCTCTAAGCAATTAAAGTACTTTGCCCAAACTCTCCCAGCCATAGGGGTAGAGATGGGGTTTGGAATCTAGGGATGACTCCAGCCTGTGTTTTGGTGAGCCGAAATTCACAAACGCTTAACTCGGGGCAATTCCAGGATGTACAACATTCAACCAGCTGGGATTCTCTGTATACAGGAAAGGAAGCAAAATGTAAAGCCAGGCATCTATCTCTAGTACTGGCTGGGACTCATGGCCCAGGGCATGTAGGGACGAGGAAAGAGGAGCAGGACACCAGTGACAGGTGCAGTCCTTGCTTTTCTCCAGGGATAACTGCTACATCCAGAAAGCCACCTTGCATCACCACTGCAGCCTGAAGCCGCTTCTGGGAACATTTCCTGGTAACGGCTTAGGTCTGGCAGGTTGGGTTACTCAGTGTTGGTGCTTTCTGCCACGAGGAGATATTTTCTAGAGGATTCCTGAGATGCTCCTCCCCTCACTAAATGTTTCATGAGGCTAGTGCTGTGTGTGTGTGTGTGTGTGTGTGCACGAGTGCACGTGTGCGTTTTCTGTGTGTGTAGTGGGATGACAGGATAGCCTGGGACTGAGGAGCCAGCAGAACCAGGAAAAGGTTCCTGGTAGAAGCTGTGGCCCTTCCTCTAAACAAACAGCTGTGTTTGGAGAAAGACAGAAATAGTGTCTAAAAATAGCCAAGAGGCCTGCGTATATCCCAAGACTGGCAGTACTAAGGGGTCTCACACACTGACGCTCAGGACCGAGGCTGTGAAGTAGGTGCTGTTTTGTGGATCTCTGCTTTTCCTGAGGGTCCCCTTCACTCCGTCTGGTGCCGGAAGGCATCGCACCTGCTCGCGCCCAGAGAGCCATCTGGGCAGACCTCCCCAGCCGCTCGCCAAACTCTGGGCCCCGTTCACCCAGCAGAAGCTGAGGAGGAGCAAAGCACAGGCCACAGGGCCTCATATCATCCTGTGCCCTGTGTGTTCTGTGGAGGGCTGTGTTCTTCCCCTGGGCAGAAAGGCTCTCCCAAGTTCACTAACCTGGTTGTTTAAATATAGGAGAGGAAACAGATGCTGGCTGGGCGGAAGTCTCTTGAAGACGGGGTTTTGGCGGTGGCTTGCTAGAGCTGATAAGGACACGGGGTGTGCTCCCAGATGGGCCTCTGCCAATTTGCTTTTGGGTCTTTCTGAGGCTGCCCTGAGCCACCACCATCAGAACATGGCTCCTCTCCAAGCTCCTCCTCATGGCTGACATGGAGAGGAGGGTTATTTTTAAACTGATCTTTGTGACTTCCTCTTGGCCTTCCTCCTTGCTCTCCTCTCTCCGAGGCCCTAAGAGCAGCTTCCTGGCCAAGCCAACTAGAACTCCAGTGATGGGGATGTGTGCAGGGTCCTGGGAGGCAAGGGCTGGCTGTGCAGGGCAGGGACCCAGCCCAGGGGGTGCCAGGGCAGGCGGGAATACTGGGGGTACAGGATACACCCAGCAGGGGTCATGTGGAACCCACAGTTCCTGGGCTCTCCAGGGCCACGTAGATGGGTACCAATGCCCTGAGCCAGGGCATCACCCCGCTGATCCCACCAGGGGACTGACCCTTCCTGGGCTGGGCTGGGCTGACCAGGCCAGCACACCCCTGCAGTCTTCGGGGAATGCCCCTCCAGCGGCCCTTGGCTCGCAGAGTTCTGGCGGCGCATGTCTGGCCGGCTGTACCACCAGCATCCTCAAATTGTGTCGTGGCTGAGTCATAGTGACAGCCCCACCCCAGCACCCCCCGTGGAAAAGGAGGGGGGCTTTGCTGCTAGCATGGGGACCTCTGGGGGCTGCCTGGGAACCACATCCCTGCACAGAGGCCCTGGGGCTCTGTGGCTGCTGCCCCTGGCTCCCTCTAGCTCCCACACCCACAGCCAGGCAGCTCAGGTACAGCCACGGAGCCCAGCAGCTGCCCCACAGTGGGCCTGTTGCCTCTGGCCCAAGCCACAGTTCCTCCCAGGGGGCTCCTTCCTCATGTCTGCTGGGAGGAGACTGACAGCACTCCCGGCTGCCACCAGGAAACCCACAGCACCTGCCCTCTCCCCACTTCTTGGCCTGGCCCCACAGCCAGGACCTGAAAACACCTTTCAGCTGGTGACTCCTTCATCCAAGAAGCAGGGCTGAGGACAGGCATGTAACAGTTTGGGAAACTGATGGTTCCTCTCCAAGACACAGGGGAGCCGAGGCTCAGTCCTTCCTCTCGGGGACTCCTGGTTCTGCAGCCCCTTGTGAAACCAGGCGGGAAGAGCCAGGCTGTGTCCCATGGGCCAGCATCCATGTGATGCTCAGAAAGGCCTTTCCAGGTGAGAGTCTGGGTCGAGAACTAGGCCTTCACTCTGGGTTAGAGTCTGGGTCAAGAACTAGGCCTTGACTCTGGAGATTCCCTCTTTCGGGGAAGAGAGGCCCCCGGGGGCATCTGTCTGTGGAATTCAGAATTCTAGACGCTCAACCTCCGTCACTCATCTGTGGAGACTGGCAAAACCGAGCCCCCGGGGCTGAGGCGGGCCAGGCAGCATGGTGGCTGGGCCAGTGACGGCCGAGGGGGACGCTGGCTCCGCGTTCACAAACAGGGCCATCCTGGGAAAGATGCTTCACCTTCCTAAATATCAACTTCCCCACCCTGCGAACAACAGATGTGATGAAAATGATGGGCGCTATGATACGGCCATGGCAAAGGTCAAGCGAGGTAGGGCACTAGGCGTCGTGCCCAGAGAAGCCCACGGGAGGGCTGTCGTACCGCTGCACAGGAAAGCCCCCAGCGTGACTCCTGGCACACGGTCCGCGATGGATACTTGTTACTGTTTTCCCTTCCTTTCTTCCACCTCAACCTGACCTGAGGGGAGGTGACATGGAAAAGTGTGTGTGTGTGTGTGTGTGTGTGTGTGTGCACGCGCGTGCCCGCCCACACTGCACACACACTCGCGGTGTGTGGGGCCGGTGCTGGGTGCTCGTCACTTATCACACCTGCTGCCTCTGTGGGCCCTTGGTGTCATCTGTGGAACAGGGAGTTGGACCCATTGGTTTCCAAGATCCATCCACGAAAGGGTGGATCCACGAAAGGGTGGGCATGTGGTCTCTTCATTCCGCTACCACCCAGCAGAGTCGGGGCCTTCCTTCCACCACGGCCAGGTGGCCTGTTTGCCCTTCTCTGATGCGCGTGCCCTCAAGTCCGTGCATCTTCCTCCCACGGCCTCTCCTCCCGTGTCCCCACACCCCCACCCCAGCCAGCAGCTGCCCTGGCCTCCCTGCAGATGTTTCCAGTTTACAGATTGCATGGAGGGCACGTTGGTCATTTGTTCCATTTGCTCAGAAACAACAGCCAGCATTATTGGCAGGAAATGCAGAGGTCGTGCCAAACTGCAGGATGACACAAAACACCCTAGTCATGGGCACTGGGCGCGCTGGGAGTGGGGGGAGGGAAGGAGCGCAAGCTGGATTGTCTCGCCGTGACCTGGAGCTCTGTTGTCGCGGTCACTGAAGCAAGGTCCGGCTCCCCTCCGGGAATGGCCCGAGCGGCCCGTTGACTCATCGTGGAGGGACAAGGACAGAGCGAGATGCTATCTTGGATGCTGGGAGCAATCGGGGCTCGGCTCCGCAGCCCGGCCCTGAGGCTGAACCTCGACCAAGAACAAATTCTATTTCTTTGTTCCTGCGAAATCAGGAAAGATTGCAGGGGTAATGAAAGATTAGATGATGTTTGGTGTTGAAGGTCGAGAGCAAACACAAATAAATGTAATGCAAACTAAATTGTGGGCCTCATGGGCCCCGGATGTTTGCCATGCAGCTATTCTGGCCAGAGTCGGCTGTGTGTTCAGCAACCCTCACACCCTGCTCAGGCGGGGGCCCCTTCATAGCAGCAAGTAGTGCCAGAATGAATGGCACACGAGAAACGGGCACTATGATTATTGCTCAGCGTCATCTGGCTCTCGAGACCCAGGCTGGAAGAGTTTCGCTTGCAGCAAATTGGGAGCCCAAGCGGCTTTCAGGGGGTAGTGAGCTGGCAGGCTGCCTTTCCCCAGGCCCAGAGGAGTCATGGGTGGGACTGCTGGTGAACCCACCGGGCAGGCCTGCTGATGCTTTCCTGGGTAAGCAGGTGCCACCTCCAGTGTAGACAAACCACTCAGAATGGCATAAGCAAGGGACTTCCTGGCAAGTGTGACGAAGGGAGAGAGAGGTATTGTAGCCTCTGGAAATCTCCTTTGCACACTTCTCATTTCTGAAGCCTGGGACACATCAGGCAATGGAGAAGAGCCCCTTCAGTGAGATACTGAGCATTGCACTGGAGAAACAGGATCCACGGGGCACATCCTTAATGGATTCCCAACAACCCTGTATCTCACAGTTTGTGGCAGGGTGGTAGGTATGGAATGTGGGGTTTTTTTAATGTTTTTTTTTGTTTTTTTTTTTTTTTGAGAGAGAGAGACAGAGAGACAGAGCACGAGCTGGGGGAGGGCAGAGAAAGAGGGAGACACAGAATCCGAAGCAGGATCCAGGCTCTGAGCCATCAGCACAGAGCCCGACATGGGGCTCGAACCCATGAACTGTGAGATCATGACCTGAGCGGAAGTCAGATGCTTAACTGACTGAGCCACCCAGGCACCCCAGTAGGTATGGAATGTTCTAATTCAGTGTTTACCAGGTACCTCCTAAGTGGAGCTCCCGTCTGGGTGCTGGAGAGGCCCTGACAGTAAAACAGCTCCCCCCACCCCACGTCCCGGAGCCCTCGCGCACACTGGGCAGAGAGTGGAGAGCCAGCACCATGGACCAGTTTCCGTGACACCTGCTGTGCCTATGTCACTTCACTTGGTCTTCACTCAAGTGTCTTTGTTACCTATCAAAGGGGCAATTGGAGACACAGAGAATAAACAATTTGTGCAACATCATCCATGTAGAAACAGAACTGACAACAAGAAAGACGGGTGTAGTTTGAAGCCCATGGCTGGCACTGATAGCATGGAGGCAGGAGCGCGGCGGAAAGGGCCTGCCCCTGTGTGAAGAGGCGTCTGGCTGTGGCTGAACACCCATTGGGCGCATCTGGGGGGCTCTGGTGTGGAAAGGCACTGTCAGTGTGGGACAATGTAACTTGCAGCACCCACTATTCCCCCGCTGGCGAGGACTGACAGGAAGACAGTCAGGAGTCAAGCACAGTGAAAGACCAACCCACCCGTGGGCTTGGTTGGAGGCTCCCAGGCTGCGTGGCTGGGGATTCAGAGAGTTGTGGACCGGGATGACCGAAGAGCCAGCAAAACGGAACAGGCATACAGCCCCTCCAACAAGTCACTGAGAGAATCAGCCCTGCAGAATCACAGGAACTGGGGAGGGCATTTTTATGGATTCCCAACCGTAAAGGTCCCTAACCATTTCCTGGCTGCTTCTCCAGGTCTGACTTTGAACTAGCCACTGCGGGCATCAGTTTCCCACAGTGCTCCATCCCTCCCCAAATCCCCGTGTCCTGGGACCCCTACACTGAGCACAGCGATCCGGGGCCAGTCCCCCGACTTCTTGAGTCCTGTTACATCATGTGTCAGAATGAAGTGGCCAGCCAGGGCCAGAGGGGGCTCTGGGTCCTGCAGACAGAGCGGTGACGAGTAAGGAGGGGATGAACTAGTTCTGATGTGAAGGGGAAATGAGCAGAGTGAGACAATGAAAAACACGTGTGTGAGCTTGTGTGTATGTGTGTGTGTGTGTGTGAGAGAGGACACACCTTAGATCTACCACAGAGATGAATGGCACAGGCCGTTGCACGTACAAATGCAGAAACCACAAAACGCAATGCAAATATCAGACATTCTCTCTGAAGATCCCTTTCACTAGAGCTAACTGGTCACACTCTATTTTCTATCTGTACTGGTTTGAGACTGAAGTTAGATGCCAAGAAAACTATTTCTGCTGAGGAGGAGGGCTCCCTGCGTGCCTCCTGATTCCTCACTGGACGTTGAGAGGTGCGGTCAGCACTCTTGCGGGGCGAGGAGAAGACAGGCTCAAGACTAGCATGTTATATGTGCCGCGAGGATTTATCCCAGGTCTCGTTTGGGCCAGGTTCTATTTTAGGCTCTTGGTACTGTGGGGAGAAGGGGAGTGGGAAGGAGATCTAAAGATGAGGAAGGCATCATTTCTTACAGCGTTTGCTTAAGGAGTTTACTAGCTAGTGGGAGAACAGTCATATAAATAAAATCACTACAAATGGTGTAATACAGGCTCGAATAGAGAAACGTGTCAGCTGGCCTGAGCGTACAGAGGAGGAAGCTATTAACTCAGTCTGGTAGTGACTTCAATCCTTTGTGGAAGTGGGTGGGGTGTACATAAATTAAAAAAAAGTCTACCTGGGAGAATCATAATATTAGACCCTGTACAGCACCATTCCTAAGGGAGTGTTTACTAGATAGCATTTGCTGGAGAGAGATGCTTCAAGAGTTGTACTGAAAGCTTTTCTCCAAGAGCTCAACTAACCCCAGGGAGCATTTTCAGCCCCATCATTTTTTTTTCCCTTTTGTCCAAACTGATCATCTAAAATAATTGCGGGGGCGCCTGGGTGGCTCAGTCAGTTAAGTGTCCGACTTCTGCTCAGGTCATGATCTCGCGGTTCACGAGTTCGACCCCCGCGTCGGGCTCTGTGCTGACAGCTCAGAGCGTGGCGCCTGTTTCGGATCCTCTGTCTCCCTCTCTCTCTGTCCATCCATCCATCCATCCCTCTCTCTCTCTCTCTCTCTCTCACACAAAAAATAAATAGAAATTTAAAAAGTAAGTGAAAATAAAATAGGATTGTGGACCACCTGTTGAGGAAAAGAACCTCACTCCAAAGTCACGGAGGGACTGGCGAGCATCTTTGTACAACAGCCTGGAATGATCACCCTGCAGACCTGCCTCCGAAGTGAACACCAGTGCTCTTTCTAATGTTCTACGTGTTTATTATTAGTACTTAGCCTACTTCCAAACAGGATGGGAGGTCGCTCCCAGTAAACGAACAGGGTGTGACAGAATCACTCCCACAGGGGAAGCCCAGGGATGACGTGGGACCTCAAGATGCCTCAGGAAACCACAGCCAAGCATGGTCACGGAGACAATACCAGCTCCAGCCTCTTGGCTGCCCCTGCACACCTGAGTTACACAAAGCTCCCCCAGTAGGCAGTTACACAAAGCAAGCTAGTTTATTAAGAAAAGCCCCCTCCTGGCTAGCACTCAACTCCTCAGTGAAATTTACCCTAAGAAACTTTCTACAAGGAACAGGGCAGCAGACCATCCCCCTCGGTCATGATGAAATGCTGAGACATACTTCTTATGACAGCTTTCTATATTTACCTTTAATAAGCAGCGGAGAGAATCAGGTTATCTGGGAAGGCGTTTAGCAAGGAACGAACGTAATATGGTTTCACGACGCTGCTGTCTGATCACGGGCTGGGTGCAAGAGAGGCACACGGAGAACGCAGAGGAAGAGAGGTCGGCTGCCCACAGCGGTCCCGAACCACCGTCTTCTAAGCGGAGCTGGCGGGGGGTGGGAGCCAGACGGTTGGTGTGATAACACACTGCCCCTGATAGCTGGCCTGACCTAGGACACGAGACTTACCCCATTGGGACACTGAAGAATTTCTGCCTCAGATGACAAACTGGGTTTTGGCATAACTGATACGGTATTCTTCTCGTGGGGTTCACTGGGAAAAGCCAAGGCTTTGAAGCCAAGACAGACTTGGGTCCGGGCCACGGCCCTGTCGTTCACTGGCTTTGTTGCTCAGGTGGCTCACTGGCCAAGTCACTCAGGTGTCACCGCGCCTTAGTTTCCTCCTCTGTGCAATGGATCCAACAGTACTTACCTCCAGGACGGCTATAGAATCGTCAGCGACACCTGGCAAAGTGCCCAGCCCATGGTGGTTGGCGTTGTCTCCATGGCAGCCGTCATGAGAATAAATACGAAAGGCCTTGTGGAGTAGGAGGGGGAAGACACACGTCAGCAGGAGAGGGAGGTTGCTCATCTCCTGCCATGGCAGGAGGGTTTGCACCCGATTCGTTAAGGAGTGGCGCCACATTTGTTCGGTGGAAGGTTTAAAAAAAAAAAAAAAGAGGGGTTGGGGGTAGGATACGGCCCCGCTGTAAACATTTAGGACTGGAGTTCTGCTCAAAATGCTCAGGGGACAAAGGGTTTAGATGCAGTTGGCTTCATTCCTGCCTTAGGGGGACAATCATGGGAGACAGAAAAGGGGGGCTGAGTTGTGAAGACACCCAGAACGTTTTGAGAAATCACGGGACAGGAGGCTCACCAGCAAAGGCCAGCAAAACTGCCCACAGAAGGGAGATGACTGGTCAGAGCCTGGCAGGTGCCAAGGGAGGGACCGGTGATATAGGTATGGTGGGGAGCAAAACATCCCAGCGGGACCTCACCTGACAAGCCCTCTCCCAGTCTTCACTGTCCTCTCCTGAGGTGAGGAGGCCGGTGAGAGGCTCCTGTCCCCGAGTCCCCTCTGATGTTGGTACAGGGACAGTCCTGAGCAGACCCCTCCAGCCTCCGGGCCTCAGTTTCTTCTGCTGTGGGCAGAGATGAGTAAGATGGGCCTCTCGGGTGGTGGTTTTGCTGAGTGAAGCAGAGTGTGTGAGCGGCGTTGTGCACTCTACAGAAAAACACAGATACTGTTTTTCTTGGAATACTCACAAGCTTGAATAAGTAGAAGCAGCTTCTCAACCTTCTTGAGTCAAGAGCATTGAATTTAGTGCGGCCCAGAAATATTCCATGGGATCAGGTTGAACTTAGGCAGTTGGCAATCTATCCCTATCTCCTTTGCCCTTCATTCTCGATTCCTTCGTGTTCGGCACCATCTGAGGTCGCTCTAAGCAGCGCTGAAAGGGGGTGCCACCAACTCCTCCCAGCTTCTCGTTTTCTCGCTCAGCCTGCGGTCTGGGAGGCAGTGGGAACGTGCTGCCACCTGGTGGTCACTGCTGAGCACAGAGCCCCTGCCGACGCTCGGGAATAAGCCTTGTGGACACTCGAAGCTGGTGCGGGGAAGCCTCTGCCCTCACTAAGAGTCTTGTAGTATGAGCATCTCCTTGCTTTCTGAGTGCCTAGAACCTGGAACCCTAGAACCTAGAATCTAGAACCTAGCTGAACCCTTCCCTGGACTCTCCATTAGGGCCTGGAGGCCTCCTGACACACGAGGTGCGGTGGGGTGTCTGGAGGGTGGGGCGTGCACCCCCAAGGAGTTTTCCTTTGTTGAGCAGGATTTCCTGTTGCTCCGAGTGAAGGGACCTTGACCTCCCTCCGCCCCTTGTACTGGTTCTGAGTATCCCGAACTCGGGCCACAGTTCCTGGCTCCTTGGCCAAGCCGGTGTGGCTCAGGTCAATGGGCCCTAGTAGGAAGCCCCCTGGGGACAGTGCCTCCAGATCAGCCCCTAGAGGAAGGCTTCTGGAAAGGCCCAGTCTCCTCCTCCTGTGCTGACCGAGAGCAGGGAAGGGAGGGGTGCTGGGAGAGGCCACCTTCTTGGCCACCTCACTCTTTTTAAGCCTCCACTGCTGGCTAGCAAGCAAGAAGCTTTATAAAAATATAAGGTTTTGGGGAAGTGGTGATGGGGCCAAGAGGAAGCGGACAAACTGATTTTGTGCAATTCTGCAGGCAGCAGTGGAGTCCATGTGAGCCAACCCCAGGCGGGAGCCCCCACCTCCCAGCTGCCTGACATCCTGTCTCAGCAGCCTCCTGGACCAGTTTCTAGGACTCCAGAAGGTCCCCCCCCC